AGCGAGCCACTTGCATCAATTGAAAATGAGGTTTGATATATGTAACTCTTGATTGAAACCCTGATTTGCATACGGAGTAGAAGCCTTGCAACGGCAAAGCAGAAAGGTAAAGAATTATTGCGCAGGACTCGAGGTAATACCGACGCGCCACGCGCCACGCCGACTGGGAGGATATCTAGCGGCGCAGTCGCGCAACTTGTCAAGGCAATGGCCAATATGTAGTCAGCTAAATTCACTTCTTCCATAGCCCAAATTCGGTAGTATGTTGTTTTTGACTGGCCTGGAAGTGCTTGTTGCTACGGAATCGCTCTATCAACTAGGTAGGTGGCCAAATGAAAGCAAAAGCGTACTAGGCTACGAGCGCGCGTGTCCCATCGATCTCGAAGGCCACATCACATCCACTTACATTTTTTTAGGATTTAGCCGCCATGCGTTTCTGCCCAAGAATTTCACCGCCCATCGTTCCATACCATGAGGTTTTCAAGGCCGTCCAAGCTCTCGCAGGTGGTCTCCGAGCAACTCGAATCAATCTCAGGCTTCTCAGCTGCGCCTGCTCGGCCCCCTGCCCAGACAACCCAACGGGCCATCGACGATTTCTCCATGGACGATGCTTTGGCGCACAAAGCGCGGACTTGATGACGACTGAACCCTCAAAGTTCAGCACGGATTGTGTTAAATGAGCGTCTTACAAACCAACCATTTTGTACTGACATCTTCCCGCGGTGGAAGTTGATATCAATCTGGGCATCGATCGCCAAACACATTTCCACTCTCGTGGCACGCTTATACTGGCTTCAATAGAGAAATAGCCTCTTTTTCGCATCTGCCACAACCCAAGCGAGGCCTTCTTGTAGATTCTTTCCAGTCATAGCACTGCACCGTAGAATATGCCATTGATGCGAACGGATTTCATCCAATCTCAATGCCTGGTGATTCAAGTATCAGCATGATGATTTTTCCAGGCAATAAGGAACGCCCACAGCTGGCCAGGTCCTTACCGTTCGAATATCATGCTCATCCATGCATCCTTCGACATCAGTTTTATTCGAGAAGATGAGCAAGCTTGCTCCAGACAAGCGCTACGAAATGATCAATATTGTGTTTTGCACACAGCTTCAGAGGGCAAACTCTCGATCAACATACCTCTTCCAGAAGTAGTCCATGCAGTTCCTCTTTGCAGTCTTGGATGCGGAGACGATCGGTAGCATCGACCACCCAGATCAAGGCGTCCGTCTTCTCGAAGTAATTACGCCAATATGATCGCAGCGTCTTTTGGCCACCCACGTCCCCTATCCTTGTCAGTAATGGCTCGTCTCTCTATCCTTTTCATTGATGAAGCGTGAAGCTAACAGATATTCAGCTTGTATCTAAAGTGATGAGGTAAGCAGAGGCATATGAGCCAATTGAATGTTTGGACGTACCCATCGTAGTCGATGGTCTTGATGATGAACCCGAGTGTCGGGCTAACTGTATGGACATCTTCGCCCATGATTTTCTTGACAATAGTGGTTTTGCCCGCATTATCAAGACCCCTTGGCACCTTTTTAGTTATGATGGCCTATTTGCTTTTGAGAGTAGGGGCACACGGTGCTGTGCATGGGGGCCAACACACAGCATCAGGATTCTCATCTCCTTGTCCTTGAGACGAGCTTTCCGCAAAATGGACAACATGGCGATTGTTGTGCTGCTGTGATCCACAATTCTATCGCGTGGTTTCGAGAAGGAACATCTCCAAGTTTGTGTCAGGTACATGTACCTAGGTCATGCACTGGCAGTGCGTGCGCCGTGACAAATGGTAGCCTGTAGGCCGTTTCGTTGTCGGCAACATTTTCCCACACGTGATACGCTCCGGCTCACGAGTGACTACAATGCACATCAACCCCGTAACGAAGCAACCCATTTCTCCATTTTTTGCACCCAAGTATCTCGCGACAATGCACACGAAGATATACCTACTGACATTCAATTTGTCGCCGATAACTATAATAAACAAACTTCAGCGATCTTTACTCAAGATAGTGGGAGCTGAGGCTGCGTCAACACATCTTTCTCCAGCACGGCAAGTCGCCCCCCAGCCTCGATCGCGTCTTTTAGAGCTATTGCGCTGTGCAGGAACAGGTATCCGTCAATCTCCCAGTCTTTGCTGCTTCTAGCGTGTCAGTCTCGCAAAATACATTCGTAGATCGTTCATCATTCGTCCCAAACGCATAATCGCTGACCTGCAAAGTATGCATCGACGCGTCCGTTCGTCCCGTCCCGATCCAACCAGCAAAGAATGCTCTTCGTCTTCTTTTGCAAGCATACTTTTCAGATTTTATTCCATTGCCAATATCCACTCAACCTCAGATACCATTGAGTCGCACGCGCCTTCACATCGACGGCGTGCCTGTCGCATTATACTGATCGTTGAACGCCAATCTTTGAAACCGGTGTGATTGCACGTGCCCAAGTCACCAGATCTCGCCAATGCATGTTTCGTTGGTCATCCTCAGTGGCGACTACGTCTTTGAGGCGTCCAACTTCTTCAAAGACAAATTTCTTCAAGAAATGGGTTCTACCAGGGGTGTCATCCCCGTCATTAGCTTCAGTAAGCTCGACATGGAGACGCGTATACTGTCGCACGTTGCAAGTGGCGGGAAATTTGTGAATCCCATCGAGTTCCATCTCATCACAGTTCCACTCGTAGTTAACGACGCTGTTGTAAAGGGGCATGATAGTTTTCATGATGCGGTCTAGCAGAGCTGAGCCATACAACTTGTGCCGGTGATCCGGATGTACCATCAAGGTGAGACGTCCCGAAAAACAAGCCTCTGGGCGAACGCGATCGCTCAGGCTAGGCTGAGAGCCAGTGACGAAGGCAAAGCCGACCACACCGAGGCTGGGTCTTGGATGCTCTGCCATAAACCGGACGAACTCTTCATAAACAATTTCGGAATGATTCGGCCACTTTGAGCGGTCCAATAAATCTTCCTCCGCTGGCTCAACAACGATGAACGGCCTCTTTTCAGCCCGACATGCTTCCCAGATACGAGCCACGTCTTCAGATCGCATCGCAAAGCTCTTGTCATCTTGCGGTCTCATTGCGCAGTCATTAGCCTCACCGGACGCCTTGTTTGCGTTGACAACTTCCGCAACAACGGCGAAGTCCATTTGAGTCGCTGGGCGCACAGTGCAGTCAGCTCTGGCCAAGGCTTGATCGGACTCGCTCAGCGAATGGAGATAACCAGTCCCATGATCGAGAGCCATCTGAATACTGTTGGCCATATTCTCGCGACTTCTTCGCTCTTTCATGATGTATAGTTCTGACGTCATATTCATCTGTCGCCATAAAATGTCTTGATGGCCCTCACAGGGTCCCATTGTTACACATCGGAGAGTTTTAGGCTGACAGGCCGGTGTAAGAAAATGGCCTGTTTCAGGATTTATATCACAGCAACTGTTGACAGCATTGCTGATTTCGTCGTTAGAAACCAACAAAGACGGTGAGGTCATATATTTGGCAAACCATGACTTCACAGGGTCATCATGGGGGACCTTGCCAACTCTCTGCCAGTTCTCGCATGCTACCTCGTCACTTACGCAATCGGAGATACCGGTAACACTTCTGTCGGAAAAATTGGGAAAGGCCGTAGAACTTCCATTGTCACAATGTGATGGGCAATCATCGCTACAGATTTTGTTTCCCAGACAGGCCCTTGTCTCTCTGCCGACGGGATCAAGCGCTGCTGCACCAATAAGCCCCAGTGGTGTGTACTTTGCTTGCTCTGATGGTCTCGGCAATAAACCTTTGACTGCAGAGAGTGTAATAGACACGCTGTTGGGGCTATATTTGGAAATGTCCACAGTGGCTGACAGTTGGGAAGTTTTCGAAGAGGCCGTTGAAGCTGGCTCGAGACACACTTTCTCTGACGCCGGTGGGCGTTCGGTAGGTTCAGTTTCTGGTTCCCCATGGAGCTCTGGAAGGCAAGTCTTCCTGCTTTCCTCTTTCCCGGCTTCTTCTGTTAGGCTGACGGGTCTACCGGCATTGGCGACTTCCTGTTCGAGCGATTCAGAACTGCCTTTTGCCGGTTCACAACCCGCAGCCGTTGACTTGAGAAGCAGACTTTCAGAAGACGTGGTGGTCTCCGGAGCGTGAGACACATGTTGAATCCATGACTTCATTTCTTTGCAGACCTTGGAGAAGTTCTCCGGGTTTCGAACTGGTAGTCTTTTTGTTGTGGGCGAAGCCATTCTCAGCGCATGCAGGAGTGCCTATAATAGATACAGGCAAATTAATGACCGTTTGTGAATCTGGAAGTGTACTTAACGTACGTGATCAGATATAGGTATCTCAAATCCGCGCAGTGTGGATTCTATCCTTAACGGAAACTGCAGACTCGATGAGCTGCAAAACGATAGAGACAAAAGAATGAGGGGACATGGAAAGACCGAACATTTAGTTTTTTGTGCAAAACACATTGATTATAATGCTGGGCGATAGCGGGGATGACTCTTGGCGCTTGCGTGACTTTCATACACCTGTTCTCAGCTGGCAAAAGCTCTACATAGGGAGCATCTGTCTGTCACCTGTCTGCATGACGACTATGTATGCCCATTGCCGCCTTGTTCATGTTAAGGCGGAAAATGAAACTCCGGCCAATTGGATTTTCTCATGATTCTAGATGGTTTGTCATTTGTCTGCAAAAATCACAAGGCACTGACAGGAATACACATCATCAAAATCGTGGAGGATCCGCACAGCTTCCACCACAATGAACTGCCCGAATACCTTCTGGGACAACACGAATGAGAGATGTCCAGGTAGAGTAGGTAATTACATATCATTCTGATTCTAGGTAGACCCATCGATAGTGACGTGCTAAGGTAACTTTTCAATTTCTAGTGCCGCAAAGTTCAAAAGCCTCCGGGCTCCGTCCACATGACACGATGTTGGGTTGTTTGACGCGGCACAGGGTGAGCGCATAAATTCATAGTAACTATTATTGGGACATATTCGTATCGGCCGCGTGGCCTAATGGCTAAGGCGCTAGATTTCGGTTCCCCCACTATCGAACTCTCTAGAGATTCCAGGTTCGACTCCTGGCGTGGTCGTGTGAAAAACTAACTATGATGTGGGATATCCTTTTTTTTTTAACGACAGGCAGGTAGCTTTCACCTAGTTACTTCTCTAATCGGGTTTTTTTGCCCATTATCCCTTGAGTCAATAGGTACCTTACTGCAAGCATAGAGCGAGCATATGTATTTATGTACGGAGTACCTCGATCCTATTTTGCTTCCTCTCTGCTGCCGTACGTTTCATGCAAATGTCACCAATTCGCTTCCGAGTGCTCAAGGCAGCATTTGATGCCCAGACGCTACCTACTTCTCCTGAAGCTCGGTCCGATGATGGACGTGAGGCAATCAATGGCTTTATAAATGGCACAGATGACTGTTGTCGATGCTGTTTCGCTTCCACTATCATCTGCATTCCCATCGCCGGATGCGAGTGTTTGCCAAAGTATCGCCTATACTTTTCAAATCACGTTTCACTAGCTTGAGCGATGTGTGATCTCGGGTCATACTCCTTTGTGCGTCATGTTGCCACACATTCTCTGGATCATTCTTATAGGGTCTCGGCAACCGAAAGCGCACGATGCCGACTACCAGTCGGGGTCTTGCCGGGCGAAAAAGAATGCACAGCAAGACATGACATGAAGTCGTTACATCGATGTGCCCTGATGCAGGTTCGAGTACAGGATATTGTACAACAAGTTGCCTTGCTGCAGGTCCCAGCCGAGATCTCGATCAATCATGAACCATTCTTGCTGGCCATCACCCTCGTAGAACATTCCTCCGTGTAATACTGTTCCAAGAGCACGAAAACCATCTCGGACATGTTCTTTAGGCGATGTACAAACGAACTAGTGGCATCATCTCGCTGCCACACTTCGGCTGCAGGTCCTCACTGCGTGACCTTGCCTCGGCCATGAAAACGGGGACGGACATGGCGCAGACAGTTTGAGGTTAAAAGGGAGGCAATGCCTCCACGACTTTGTAGCTGAATTTGTTCTCCATCATAAAGCAAAGATCTCACAGATCTCATAGGAAGGAGAAATTGGTCATTCGAATCTCCCTGAAATCATGAATGGAATATCGCTATTTCGTCTCAACATTCTTGTTGCCCTCACGCTTCGTGGCGTCATGGCTCAGGGCTCTCAGGCCAGATCCTTGCTGTACCGACGGAACACCACTCTTGTCCTGGGGAAGATATGCAAGTCAATGAGACGTGATTGTGATCTCGACGACTTACCCTCAGATATCGAGGTATGAAGACCAAGGAAACATTTGCAAAAGCCGCTTCAACTGACATGCATTCTCGCCAGAAACTATGCTCACAGCGTTGCGAAACGGGTATTGATGACCCGGACTTGAGAGTTGACTTGTGTGACGGCTTCAAAAAGGTACTGTCCAATCCTCCAGCAATAAATGATGCCTTTTCATGAGCCTTCAATTTCTCAGTCTAACTTGACGCAGTACATTGATGGCCTTGGCGAATGTGCCAACAGCCCCCAGATCGTGGTGGAGATGCAGTGCAAAGAAAAGTGCGGCGACTGCATCCGCGACGAGGACTGCGGCAAGGACCAGATTTGCGAGAATAAGAAATGCAAGGCGGTCATCAGCTGTCAAAACAGCCGAGAGTGCAACGGTCAGGTATGCAAGAATAACAGATGTGAAGCCTGCACCGCCAACGCAGACTGTGAGGACTCCAATCTCGAATGTGTCAAGGGATTGTGCGTCCCGACGATAAACCCTCCTCCAGAATGCACCAAGAACTCGGATTGCAAAGCGACGCAGATCTGCAAGAACCAGAAATGCAGCCCTTGCTCGATCGACTCTGAGTGCGGCCCCGACCAGTTGTGCGGAGATGGTCAATGCAAGCCGAAACCGCCGACTTGCGGACAGCCTGGCTTTGAATGGGCACAATGGCGAGGACCGCGAACTTGGAGAACTGTCAAGTCACCACCGTTTGCAGAATATGACCCTACGTCCTTCGCGAGCCAGAAACCAGAGCACGACGGCCGAACAAACAGCTTGCTTATCAACGATCGTAGAAACCTCTACGGTCAGGCCCTTAGCACAAATCAGGCCGCTGTCATTCACCAAGGCTTTCTCTTGGCACCTGAAACAGGCAACTACACCTTTACGTTTGGACAGGCCGATGATATCGCTCTCGTCTGGTTAGGCCAAAACGCCTTCAGCGGCTGGACTCGAGCCAACGCCGATATCGAGCGGACTTATATCCCTCCTCCTGGCGATGAAACTCAGACAATAAGGCTTCTCGAGAAGGGGACGTACTATCCCGTGCGAATCGCCTGGGGAGACAAGGGGGGCAACGTTGCCATGTCTGTCAAGATAACTGCTCCAAATGGTACGGAGTTGACGGGCCAGGATGGTGGCTATTTCAGAACCGAAGCTTGCGACGGTTCTTACGGCAAATTCCCAGCCTACGGGCCGGCTTGAATTGGTGATGCAATTGGGGGAGAGCTAAGGATATTCTTGATCCTGTCTGCCAAGTGATTCGTACTTGAAGCGCGGCTCCGAAATCGAGTGTAGGGCTCTCCTGTGTGTTTCTAGTTCTTGTTATTATTCAATCGTCGTGTACTAGTACTTTTTAGAGTAAAAGAACGCAAGAAAATTAATTAACACCAATTTTGCTCAGTTGTTGCCGATCTGCGCCTGCGTTGAGTGAGGGAAGATCCAATTTTTCGAGCTGATCATACGACGTATGTCCCACAGAGGTATGAAACGGTGAACGACGCCGGACGGAGTTATCGTTCGTTCCGCTCCACTCCATTGTTGGGACTCTGGGAGTCTGGGACGCTAATCGTGCGCAACTTTTGGACAACATGTGGAACCTCCTCCGATTTGGTACTCCGTCTTCATCTCCTGTCCTCATTCGTATTTCTTTCAACGCTCTACATACTTGCCGCTGCCCAACATTACCTACCTCGATTATATCTTCCAATTTATTCAAACCGGTATAACCTTCTCAATATCTTCAAAATGGCACGCAAGTTCTTTGTTGGCGGCAACTTCAAGATGTGAGTCATGCCGCAACGAGTCGAGTCCAAGCTGCGAGGTGCTGCCCCTCCATGCCCCGCGCGAGGTGCATCCTGAGACGAGGAGCCAGAACAGCGCAGCTCGATATCACATTCAAGATATTGACATGAAACCACGATTTGAGAGCAAAGAAACAGTAGTTAACAAAAATTTCCAGGAACGGGTCTGTCTCGTCCATCAAGGAGATTGTCAAGAACCTGAACAATGCTGTCCTTGACGCCGAAGTCGGTTCGTATCGTCCCATCTGGCCAAGTGACAATTCGTTGGCAAAAAGCTACGTCTAACTGATTGATTACAGAGGTTGTCGTCTCTCCTCCCGCGCTCTACCTCCAGCTCGTCCGTGACAGCCTCCGTTCCGGCATCGATGTTGCTGCCCAGAACGTCTACGACAAGCCGAACGGTGCCTTCACTGGTGAAATCTCTGTCTCCCAGCTCAAGGACAGCAACATCAACTGGGTCATCCTAGGCCACTCTGAGCGTCGTACCATCCTCAAGGAGTCCGACGAGGTTGTCGCATCAAAGACCAAGTATGCCACCGAGAACGGCGTTAGTGTCATTTGGTGCTGCGGAGAGAGCCTCGAGGAGCGTGAGGCTGGCAAGACTGTCGATGTTGTGACCAAGCAGCTCGAGGCTCTGAAGGCTCAGATCAACGACTGGTCTAAGATCGTCATCGCTTACGAGCCCATCTGGGCTATCGGAACTGGCAAGGTTGCTACAACTGAGCAGGCTCAGGAAGTACACAAGGCCATTCGGGAATGGCTCAAGAGTGTCAGTAGCAAGGTGGCTGACGAGACTCGAATCTTGTACGGCGGCAGTGTCAATGAAAAGAACTGTGGAGAGCTTGGCAAGCAGCCCGATATCGATGGTTTCTTGGTCGGCGGTGCTTCTCTCAAGCCTGGTTGTAAGTCTTTTCCCATTTTCAGCAGTGCAATGTGTCATCCCAAGCGTATAGGCACCTACTGACGTTTTTTTACGATAGTCGTTGACATCGTCAATTGCAGAAAGTAATGGCCGGCCAAGAAAGACACCAGGTCCCATCCGGACGTGAATCCGTGAGTAAAATATAAAATTATGTAGTGCATGAGAATAATGACCTAGTCATTGGATACCCGATTCTGTGATCTCCTCACTTGCGGCATTTTCTCCATTGTTCGATTACGCGAGTCTCCTCTAGAGCGTGACCATCTCGATTTGACTTTGTGGAGTCTGCCTTTCATTCAACCGGCCCAAATATGATCTTTAAAGTCCAGACATTCCAGCCGCTCAATGCTGAAAATACATGTGCCTTTCTCTCGTAATATAATGATACAAACACGGCATAGACGTGCGCGTTGCTGTTGAATTCAAATTTCAACCCCTGTTGCGTCTCAAAGAAGCAGCCACCAGACAAACAGCCTATACAGTTTCACCCTTTCCATGATATGGAGACCAGATGCCTCTGACACTAGGGTTGGAACTCGTAACCGCCTTATTCCTCCTCTTCAGCTTTTCACCGCTGGCATCGCGTAACAGCTCCATCTTCTGCAGAATCTCGTAGGGTGATAAGCTTCGTACGCAAACTGGTTTGTGGCGTCCGTTTATGTAGTGGCCAGTGATGAGTGGATGTTTGCCTGGCCTAGGCGAGAGGACAAATTCGATCTGCGGGTTCTCAGCCACGAATTTGGGAAGGAGAGATTTGATGAAACCGCTGAGAAATGTGTGGTAAGTCATGTAGTTCAGCACAGTTTCCATTCTTTTAGAGATAAGAAACTTACTTCATTCCTTTTGAGCTGCCGGCCCAATCGCAATAGTTTAGTTCCATCTTCTTGCATTGGAGGATGAAGGCACCGACGCCATTCTGTTTAGATGTCAGCCTCTATGATGGAGGTGGAAAGTGTGTTACAAAGAGTCTCTCGCGCGTCGCATACCTTGCTGGCGGCAACCTTACGCAATGCCCTGACAGTCATGTTGACCTGGTGAAAGTTGAACTATCAAGAGATCAATCCAGCGAC